TGTCTCGACTAACAACCTGACGGGCCCACTGCCTCCCAACTTGTGCAGCAGGAAAAAACTCGCGCGTCTCATCTTGTTCACGAATAGGTTTTCGGGACAAATACCCGATTCATACGGTGAATGCGAAACCTTAATCCGCGTGCGTATGCAGGACAATGAGCTGTCTGGAGTTGTACCTAATGGGCTGTGGAGTTTGGGAAATCTCAGTCACCTTGAGCTCACCAACAACAGGCTCGAAGGGCCCATTCCGCAGTCGGTCTCTGCAATGAAAGCCCTGCAACAGTTGTCGATAGCCGGAAATAAATTTTCCGGCCAGTTACCTGAAGGGATTTGCGGTTTGCGGGGGCTAATGAGGTTTTACTCCGGTGGCAATGAGTTTTCGGGGGACTTGCCTCGGTGTATTAGCCGATTAGCAAATCTAACCGATCTTCACATGCAGGGGAATTATTTTACTGGCGAAATCCCGAGAAATATGGACGACATGGTGGAACTATCCCAGCTGGATTTGTCGGGAAATCGACTTTCCGGTCCTGTCCCGTCCGAGCTCGGGAATTTGCCTCAGTTGACTTACATGAACCTTTCGAACAATATGCTCTCGGGGGAGATCCCGGGAGATCTAGCTAAACTCAAGCTTAGCGTGTTTGATCTCTCCAACAATCGGCTTCAGGGAAGCATCCCGACCCTTTTGGATACCAACACTTTCTTGTCGGGCCTGACGGGAAACCCCGGTTTGTGTAGCTATTATACACTTAATAAAGATTTCAATCCATGCACAAGCCCGAAAAAACGTGCTCACAAAAGCTTCTTGCTAACCGGACTTCTATCGGCAGCCTCGTTGATACCCGTTGCTTTAGTCGTCTGGTTCGTGATGAGGACAAAGAATTGTTTCAAATTTGGGCGAAAGGGTAACCAGACTTGGAAAATCACAGCTTTTCAGAAGGTCGATTTGGATGAAGAGGACGTGCTGGCCTCACTCACAGCCGAGAATGTAATCGGGTCCGGAAGCTCAGGCTGTGTTTACCGAGTCGTGCTCAAGAGCGGCCAAACGGTGGCAGCAAAGAAGCTTTGGGAGGGAAACTTGGAAGAGCCGGAGCAGGCATTTCGGGCAGAAATGGAAACTATGGGGAATATCAGACATCTAAACATAGTAAAGCTGTTGTTTAGCTGCATTAGTGAAGATTATAGGATATTGGTGTACGAGTACATGGAGAACGGGAGTTTGGCTGATGTTCTGCATGGGGAGGGCCGTGGGGCTCAGCTCGATTGGCCTAAACGGTTTGCCATTGCGCTCGGGACGGCCCAAGGGCTCGCGTATTTGCACCACGACTGTGTGCCCGCGATTCTTCATAGGGATTTGAAGTCCAACAACATATTGTTGGACGAGGAGTTTAGGCCGAAAGTGGCCGATTTTGGGTTGGCTAAAGTGTTGAAGCGCAAAGTGGACGAAAGCGGTCAGACCATGTCTCATGTTGCTGGTTCTTATGGATATATTGCACCAGGTTTGACAAACTGATCCTACCTACCTTCATAGATAAATTAACTTTCAACTTTTTTCTTATTTTAATGTAAAGCTTATGTTACTATTTTTTTTGTTTAACAACTTTGCAGAGTATGCCTACACATTGAAAGTGACGGAGAAGAGCGACGTGTACAGCTTCGGAATAGTTTTACTCGAATTGCTTACGGGGAAGAGGCCGAACGACGAGTGTTTTGGTGAAAACGTGAGCATCGTCAAGTGGGTAAAAGACATCGCATTGCCATGTTTGAAACGTGGAGGAATTACACGAGACCCGAGTGGCAACAGATCAAACATCGCGAGTTTGAACCGGGTGCTCGACACCCAGATGAATCCGGACACGATCGAGTATGAAGAGGTGAAGAAAGCTTTGAATGTGGCTTTCTTATGCACAACCCAGTTGCCTGATAGAAGGCCGTCCATGAGAAGAGTTGCGGAGCTGCTTAAGAAACGTTAGTTCACAATTTTTTTCCAGTTGTTTTGTCGACAACAGTTACCCAAAAGTAGCATGAGGTTTTGTGCTCGTGTCGTGGTCTTTAGAAAATATGCCCAAATTTCATCTCACGAATGTTAGAAAAACATGCTTGAATATTTAGAGAATGACAACCAAACGACATGATCAATCAAAGATAGGGATGTCAATAAAACCCGTAGGTCGGGTTACCCGCATTTTTGGGTCGGGTAAACCCGATATGAATGCGTTTCGGGTCGGGTTAGGGTAGAATTATGCTACCCGAACCCCGGGTCGGGTCGGGTGCGGGTATAATAGGCAAACTCGTTACCCGACCCGATTACCCTATCCGGTTACCCGCAACCATTGAATCATGTATATATACATGCATACATACATATATATATATATGTTTATAACTTATAATAAATATAAAAGTAGTCACGTGTTATTTTTAAAAATTAGATTACCTATTATAATTTTGATTAATGGTTAAATTTGTTATATTTTTTATAATTTTATTATCATTTGTTGTTAATTGTACAATAAAAAAATTAAATACTTAATTTTAAATGTTATAATATTAAATAGACTATAAAAGATAAATAATCATATCTCATTATTTATTCCAAAAATAATACAATTTTTTTATAGTTCTTTTATTGTCAAACTTAGTTAATAAATTATTTCTTACATTATAATTAATTGTGAAATTATTTTATTTTATTTTCATATGAAACGAGATGGGTCGTTCAAAACCCAAATTTAAGACTCGGGTTACCCGTTTATCCGATAAAAACCCATTAACCCGCCGGGTAAAACCCAACCCGAACCCGAATATCACTAATCGGGTAACGGGTCGGGTTTGGGTAAGGTAAATTACATGCGGGTCGGGTTCGGGTTTACCAAAACCCGTACCCAACCCGACTCATTTACATCCCTAATCAAAGAACACGAACTATGAATTAAAACTCAAACACAGTCAAAGCATATGATTCAAACAAATGAACAAAGTTGACACACATAATACATGTTTTCCATAAGCAGTAAAAGCTTTTTTTTTTGGTACAAATAAGCAGTAAAAGCTTTGTTATAATACTCGCGATTAACAGTGAGCGTACGCTCCCAATATACACCGACTTGCCGCGTATTACCTCGTACATAAGTATTAAAAAAAAAATCTAAGACTTTATCCCACACTACTATTGTTTAGTACACAAATAAAACAAAAAACATGTTAGTGTTTTTATATAACACATATAGAAATATATATAGGACTAACCTTTTATGCAGCGAAAGCGATTACTTGCCCGTATATCTTTTATCCGACGGCTACTAGAGTCGTCGGTATCCTCCACGTTCTAAAACCTGAGCCGCCTTGTGATGGTTTTGGCTCAACAAGAGAAAAGCACTTAAATATTATTTGTAATGATATAAACTCAACTTGTTTTCTTGTTTCGTATTGTCTCTTTTGGAAGATGCACAAAGCATCAATTTATAGTTGTCATCATACAACTATTCATTTAATGAAATCTTTAATTAATCTTAACTTCATAACTCCATACATAATGGAGGTGAGTAACAACTCCACCATTAAGTGGATGTTACAAGTGCATTGATGCATGCAACATCAATTACAAACAATACTCCCACTCAGCCACTTAAGCCGAGACAATATCATCAACAAAAATCTTTATTAACAAATCTCTTGCCTCATACGGGTAATAGAGCGTGCGACCGAATGCAACAATAACAGCGTTATATTAAGTCACCATCTAATTAACATAACCCTTTCATACTTACGACAACCTCTAACTGTTCAAAAATCACCGATAGCATACACAGTCCCTATATGCTATATACACAACAAGGTTATATTCAAATACAACCGCCCGGGCTAATGTGGTGAAGTTGAATCAGTTATTTCTTAGACACTAATGAAACTTCATCTCAACTTAGTTGCTTTCCTAACATGCTCCGTCGAACTGTATCGATCATAGCTCTTGGAGGACATATTAAAGTAGCAACACTAAGTCTCAATTTCATAACATAGTTCTAAGTCAAAAGGCTCCGTACAAAGTTGGACAACAAAATCCACAGGATTCACAGCTTGACAAAGTAGGGAATCATTTGTCAATCCTTAATGGTCGTTCAAAGCACACGCAGTATGATATACGTGTCATAACATAGCTCCCACTGTGATGGGCATGTCACTCTACTATGTTATACGAATCTATAGTCTAGATACTACTCAAGTATCTAACCCCAGTCACTTGATAAATATACTTAATAATTTATCTTCCACTCGAGATTCGGCTTCAAGGCTTTGATATGAAATCAGGATTATTTTATATTCGACTCGTTAGAGTCTCATCTTAGACTTACTAAGGCGACTGTAAAAAATATATTTATACAACAAAAGTATAAATACAATCCATACATCATACACGTAATAGGAATATGGAATAGTCTCATCCTTACTCACAACTAATGTGATAGGGCGATTACCTGTGTGATAAGCGTAATCAAAAGCCTGGTGACATCTTTACTCATGCCTAATTATGCAACATATGCTATAGAACATATCAAAGAACAACAAATTTCATATATGTTCGGTGTAACATTATACACATCCATTATCCCACAAAAATAAAATTAAAACCTACGCAAACCAAGACTCTTCACATGAGTTTGGAAAGCATCTCTGCGTATAAGTTTAGTTAAAGGATCAGCTATCATTTTATTTGTGGGTATATACTTAATGACAACTTCTTTATTTTTTATTGCGTCTCGTACAAAATGATAACGCCTTTTGATATGCTTGGTTTTTCTGTGAAACTTCAGATCCTGGGCATACTGGATAGCAACAGTATTATCACAATGCATTTCTACAGGTTCATCAACCTTTGGGGTGAGGTTGAGATCCTGTAGAAAATTCCCAAACCATATTGCCTCTTGAATGGCAACACTACTGGAAACATACTCAGCTTCCATAGTCGAAAGGGCTATGCAATCTTGTTTTTTACTGCACCAGGATATTGCACCTCCACCGAATATAAAGGCATATCCTGAAGTTGACTTTGACTCATCCAGATCGCCACCCCAATCAGCATCCGAGTATCCTTTTAATTTCAAGGACACACCTTGATAGCAAAGTACCAAGTCACTTGTACCATGCAGGTACCACAAGATTCTCTTGACAGCTTGCCACTGTGCAGGCCCAGGGTTGCTTTGGTAATGACTTACCAAGCCAACCGCGAAGCAGATGTCTGGCCGTGTACATAACATAGCATACATCAAGCTTTCTACTGCACTAGCATATGGAACATTGCTCATTTTATGTTTTTCTTCATCTGTTTTCAGACTTTGGTCAAGACTTAAGGTTAAACCCTTTTCGACTGGAGTATCAACGGGTTTGGAATAATGCATTCGAAAACGTTCTAAGATTCTTTTAATATACGTTTCTTGAGACAAACCAAGAAGTTTCTTAAGACGATTTCACATTATTTCCACTCCTAGGACATACCTAGCTTCACCAATGTCCTTCATTTCAAAGTTAGAGGACAACCACTGCTTAGTGTCGTTGATCATTCTCATGTCGTTTCCAGCCAACAATATGTCATCAACGTATAAAGAAAGAAACAAAATTCTTTCTTCACTTTTCTTGACATACACACAATGATCCTCATCAACCATGGTCAAACCAAATGCAAAAATGGCTTCATGGAATTTGAGATATCATTGTCTAGAAGACTGCTTGAGACCATATATGGATCTTTTGAGACGACAAACTTTATTGTCTTGCCCTTTTGGGACAAACCCAATAGGTTGATCCATATATATCTCTTCCTCAAGAGAACCATTGAGGAAAGCTGTTTTTACGTCCATCTGAAATAATTCTAAATCCAAATGGGTAACCAGGGCCAAAAGACGACGAATGGAGGCAAATCTCACCACAGGAGAAAATGTCTCATCGTAATCTATACCTTCAATTTGGGTAAAACCTTTCGCTACTAAACGAGCTTTGAACTTTTCTATTGATCCATCCACCCCACGCTTGATTTTGAATATCCACTTACATCCAATTGATCGACGATGAGGTGGAAGGTCAACAAGTTCCCAAACATTATTTTTAATCATTGAGTCCATCTCATCATTCATTGCATCTTTCCATTCTGAATTATATGGTGAATTCATTGCCTCTTTATAAGAGTTCGGTTCATCTACTTCTAAAGGAGTACAAAGAAATACATCCTCCTCAATTTGAAAAAATCGACGAGGAATTCTTCCACGATCACTCCTTCTCAAAGTAGGAGTGATCCATCTGTATTACACGACTGGAATGGAGTCAGAATGGTTGTATGGGTTGTTGATGCAACCAACTAACTTCAATTTGGGTAAAACCTTTCGCTACTAAACGAGCTTTGAACTTTTCTATTGATCCATCCACCCCACACTTGATTTTGAATATCCACTTACATCCAATTGATCGACGATGAGGTGGAAGGTCAACAAGTTCCCAAACATTATTTTTAATCATTGAGTCCATCTCATCATTCATTACATCTTTCCATTCTGAATTATATGGTGAATTCATTGCTTCTTTCTAAGAGTTCGGTTCATCTACTTCTAAAGGAGTACAAAGAAATACATCCTCCTCAATTTGAAAAAATCGACGAGGAATTCTTCCACGATCACTCATTCTCAAAGTATGACCTTCATTATTTTCCAAACTAGTAGAAAAATTTCTCCCACTATCTTCGAGAGGCATGGGACTATGAGCTCGATGACTTATTTCGTGCTCTTCTCTATGAGGCTCATCCTCATTTTGAGTTTTTTTTCACTAGTGGAATTTAAAAGAACTTCACTATCTTTGGAGACCTGTTGAGGTAACATATCTCCCTCATCTCCTAAAGATACTTGTATTTCACTAATGGAATTTAGAAGAACTTCATTATCTTTGGAGACCTGTTGAGGTAACATATCCCCCTCATCTCCTAAAGATA